TCCATTTTTAATTGAATTGTTTGGTATTCTGCTGTCTAGTCTCTTTATATATTCTGGATATCAGCCCTCTGTCAGATGTAGGGTTGGTGAAGATCTTTTCCCATTCTGTATTGCCTCATGCTTTTTAACCTATTTTGTCATCTGTTCCATGTTTTCAGATGTTTCTCTTCGATTTTTTAGTGTAGAGCAAAGTTTGTCTTTTGCTACCCCGATTCTTGTCTTCCAGAGTCACACATAAGTTTGAGTTATCATCTTACCCATAAATCATCTTATTTGGCTCAATTCAGTTTCTTTTACCAAAAAGGTTTTGTCATTTCAGCCTAAAGATTCTATATATGTTTTGTTAGTTTTATTCTTTATGAATTTTATTTTATTTTGAGAAATTTACAAATAATTTTGTGTTCCATGAGATCTTGTATTTTGTGCTCTTCTTGTACTCATACACATTTAATAATTCTAAGATATTTTTCTTTGAATTTTGGGATGGCTCTCTGTATTATTAATTATACCATCTGAAAATGTTTGTATTGATTTCATCCCAACTTGTATTCATCCTTTTTTTTTTTTTTTTGGTTTTTCAAGACAGGGTTTCTCTGTGTAGTTTTGGCGCCTTTCCTGGAACTCACTCTGTAGACCAGGCTGGCCTCGAACTCACAGAGATCCGCCTGCCTCTGCCTCCCGAGGGCTGGGATTAAAGGCATGTGCCACCACCACCAGGCTTTATCTCATTTCTTTATTTTGCCTTATTCCACTGGCTAAATCTTATAATAATGCCTTGGAAAAACGTGATGAATGTGAGCATATTTGCCTTGTTCCTAACCTTGAGTGGGAAATTTTCAGTTTATCACAATTATTATGTTAATTATAGGGGAAATTATACGCATATTTTGTTGTTAAGGAAATTTTCTTATGTGAATAATATGTTAAAAGTTTTAAATTTTATGCTCAAAATTACATAGACATTTTAAACTTTATGTGTTTGGTCCATATATTTCATTTTTCTCTCTTTTTGCAGTGTTCTGCATTACTTAAATAATTAAAATTATCTTTAAGTTTATTTATATTGTTGTTAATTATACCACTATGTAACTCTTTGATAGGCTATTCTAGTTATTATAATAAAGACATTTAACTTTTGGGTTTTTTTTTTTTTTTTGGTTGTTTTTTGAGACAGGGTTTCTCTGTGTAGTTTTGGTTCCTGTCCTGGATCTCGCTCTGTTGACCAGGCTGGCCTTGAACTCACAGAGATCTGCCTGCCTCTGCCTCCCGAGTGCTGGGATTAAAGGCATGCGCCACCACTGCCCAGCTAACTTTTGGTATTTTTAATACTGTGTAGAAAATTCACTTCCGTTTAATTTTCCCTTTCCATCACAATTTCAAAATATTATCTTAATTATTTGGTCTGTAAGCAGAGTTCTACATGAGATGTTATAATCTGTGCTTCACCCACAAAGTAAGACTTAAACAACTCATGATGAAAAGCTTACATTTTCACTCATTCTAATATACTTTCTTCCTTGCAGTTTTAAAATTCATTCCATTATATGTCTTTTCTTTTTTGATAATTTTCTTTTTATTAATTAATTTACTTATTTATATTTTATGTATGAGTGCGCTGCATGTACGCCTGCATGACAGAAGAGGGCATCAGATTCTATTATAGATGGTTGTGAGCCATGATGTGGGTGCTGGGAATTGAACTCAGGACCTCTGGAAGAGCAGCCAGTGCTCTTAACTGCTGACCCATCTCTCCAGCCTGGGGTAAGTTTCTTCTGCCAGGTTTTAGGGAGGTATCTTAGCATTAAATTCTCCTTCTTTTTTGTGCGTTATTTTTTCCTTTGAGAAATGCCTTCTGTCTTCTTCATTCAGATACAAGTTTCATGACTGAGAATTACTTTTTGTACTTGTAAAAATGTGTTTGTTCCCACTGAACTTCATGGTTTTGGATGAAAAATATGATGTCATTTAAATTTGCCTTCTTTCATTGGTCAGTATGTCATAACTTGCACTTATCTCAGTCATTTTGTATTTGCTGAAAACTGTATTTGTAATATACTCTAGTATAAAACTCAGTTGATTGTTCCAGTTTATAGTGTACTATCACTTTGAATTTGTAATTATGCTCACCACATATTGATCCTATTTTTAGTAGTTTTTTGTTTGGCCATTTTCTTAGCCTCCCACATGTCTCTACTTTGGGGATTTGAGTTTTAAAAAACAGAACTTTTGTTATTATTCTCAAGGGTCTTATCTTTGTTCATATTTGTTTTAAGTGTCTATGACCTCTGTTTTTCATGTTGAATGATTTATATTGATATGTCTTTGAGTTCACGTCTACCTCTCATTTTGTCTGATACATCTTTTGTTATATTTTTCCATTTTATAAGTTCTCTTTAGTCATTTTCCTTATTTTATATATATTATCTGAAATTTTATAGCCTTTTTTCAAGAATGCTTACCATTTCTTATTGAAACATTTTTATGATTACTGTAGAAAATATCAAATAATTCTAACATCTGTAATCTCATTTTCAATATCTGGATTTTTTTAGTTGTTCAAGTTGTGATTAATTTTCATTTGTATCCTAGATATTTTGTGTATTGTGGTATGATAATTTGAATTCTATTTCATCTTCTCATTTTATAGATACTCATCCTGTTTTGGTAGCTCCTGATATCCCTTGTGTTGAACATTGCACTCTTCTAGTTTTTATGTGTCATGGAGTTATGAAGCACAATACTGACTTGTATCGAATCACTAGAGTAGAAAGAAAGTCAATCCTCAGTTGAACCCTGCTGACATTATGGGGAGGGAGGACAACAAATCTGCTTAAGTTCATTTCTTCTTGATTCCTTCTGGATTATTGGTGGCAAGTAAGCTGAAAGATCTGCTCTCTCCATCAGTCTTCTGCACCAGTCTAGCAGAGAATCATGATACTTCTCTGCTTCTTTCAGGCATAAGACAGAAAAATTCTCCCATATCCGCTTCATTAATAGTATCCCAGGAGAGGAGTTGGAGCCCTATCAGTTTATCCTCTGAAAAGGATGGAGAATACTATGCTCATCAACTCCAGAATCACCTGGTAGATGGGTTTCTAGGCATGCCTGTGGGAACTATCTTGAGTAGGTTCAGGTTGAAAAACCAGCCCACTCTGGGTATTGCCATTCTCTAGACAGGCGATTCTGGGCTATATAAATGGAGAAAGGCAGCTGAGCAGGAGCATGTATTTATCCCTCTCTGTTTTCTAATTGTGAATGCAATGTGCCCAGATGTCTAAAGCTCTTCCTGTCCTGACCTTTCCTTGAACTGTGAGCTAAAATAAATGCTTTTCAACCTTTAAGTTTCTTTTGTCAGAGTATTTTATCACAGGTACACAGAAGAAACTAAGATACCTGCTAAACCCTTCCAACCTTACTCTACAAAGGTAAATGATTTTTTCTGCCTCTCCTGAAGGGAAATAAATCATTTTCTTACTTGTACTCACTGAGACAGTCCTGCTGGGGAAACACAAATAGGGCCTGGGAAGAAAGATAATTTCCTTGTGTAATTACACTAAAACTCATTTGGTGATGACTTTTATGTCAGTAATTTGTTCAATTATACATTGGTTTAAATTTTTTTTGCCTTGTTAGTTTTCCCCTTTATCAGTGTTTTGGCTAAGGGGAACTAGCTTTTTTGGAAGTTTATGTTCTTAAATTTAACTTTTCTTTGATTCTTTGTGGATTTCACATCATACATTTATTTCAATCCCACTCATCTTCCTGTTCCTTCCCATCTTCCCTCTGCCCTTGCAACCTCCCTCACAAGATAAAAAAAAATTCAAAAGAAAAGAAAAAAAGGAAAATCTCATTGTGGAGGCTGCAGTGTGACCCAGTGAGTCATAGAGTATACCCTTTAGTCCATACATCTTTACTTGCAAATGTTCATTGCAATGAGTCATTGGTCTGGTTCAAGGCCTCTGGCTTCTGCCACACTAGCAATACTGGGCCCTCACTGGGACTCCTCCTGGATATCTGGTTGTTATCCTGTGTCATGAAGATCCTGCAGCTTTGGGTCTGCAGGACTGGCCCCTTCATCTGCTCCCGAAGATCATAGGTGGGGTGGGTGTTGGGATGGACCAACTCAAAGCCTTGGTTCTGGGCCTGGGTGGTTGCTGGGTTGGTCAGTGCACCAGCTCTCCCTTATCCTCACCACCAGAGTCAGCTCTCCAGCACCACCCAGGCTAGCTCACCCTATGCAGTAAGCAGCAAGGGGCAGGGGCAGTTCTGCTCTCACACCCTCAGGACTGACTCACCCACACCTACAGCACCAAGATCAGCTCCTCTGTGCTGGCCAGGTAAAGTACAGGGGCCACTCAGCCGAGTCCTGCAGCTGGTGAGATGCAGGGCCAGCTCTCCCACCTGCCATAGGCACGAGGAGTGGGTGGCTTCTCTCCCTTGCTCACATCACTGTACGGTAGAAAAAGTGGGTGGGACCAGACCTTTCATACACATGTTCTCAGGGCCAGCTCACACACACACCCCATCAATGGGGTCAGTTCTCCTGTGTTGCTGAGGCAAGGTGCAGGGCCCACTCTTCTGAGTGTTACAACTGGTGGGGGGCAGGGTCAGTTCTCCTGCCTGCAGCAGGTGGTGAGGGGTTTGGGGAGGGTAAGGGCATCTTTCCCCATCCTTTCCACTGCAGAGCAGACTAAGGTGGTGGGGCCAGCTCTCCTCTCACACCTTCAGGGATGGCTCACCTGCACCCCAGTCAACAGGGTCAGCTCTATTGTGCTGCCCAAGTTAGGGTTAGCTCTCCCACCTGCCAGAGGCTGTGAGGGGCAGGAATGGGGGGAAGGTATCTCTCCCTCATCCATGTTACCATATGGCAGATGAGGACCAGATCTATGCTCAAGTTCTTGGGGCCAGTTCACCTGGGAAGTATATGTTCTTGAGTGTTGACAATTGGAAATCTCATCAATCTCTCTCTCTCTCTCTCTCTCTCTCTCTCTCTCTCTCTCTCTCTCTCTCTCTCTCTGTCTGTCTCTTTCTGACCCCCGGCATATTTAGGAAACACTAAAGAGAAAAATGATAGTCACGACTTTGACATTCCTTGAGATCCTAGTTCCTTAGGCAAAACATCTGTATTCTTTCTCTTTTCAGAAAATTATTTTCCTGCTAGGTCTAGGGACTTTGGTTTGTAAGAGAGATCATCTGGGAGTAATTAGGCTATGTCTTGGGCCAGAATTCTGTGGACCATGATAATACTTAGAATGAAAACCTAAAGCCTATGATAGGTCCTCAGCATGAGAGTCTCTAATGGCAACATAGGACTCTAAGGTATTTTCAAGAAAGGATTTACTCTATTCTGAATAACATGAAGTACAAGACACATATACATGGATTGGGGAAATATAAAGATTTCCAAAAGCAATATGTAATATATATAAACAATAAAAATGGCCTTTATATAAGGAATGATTATAAAACCCATGTTTTGTTTTGTTTTTTAATTCAGGAGTATTGGCACATATTTATAACCACAACACTGAGGAGGCAGAAATAAGCAGATCCCTGGAGCCTCACTGTCTAGCTGCCCAGCCTACTATGCAAGTTCAAGCTAGTGAGAGACCCTATCTCAACAAAAGGTAATTGAACATATCTTGTTTGCAAGACATAAATAAATCAGACTGGAACTGAGCTAGAATCTTCCTTCCTCTTGGCTAGCTTTCATAGTGCTAGTGGAGAGAAATTATCGAAGTCTTAGTCAGCTGTGAACACAGCCAGGCAAGATGTTCCCACTGGTAATAGTGGCATGGCGGTTACAGAGGTAGACAACTGCTTTTTGGTGGGATATTTTTTAGGCATGCAATGGTTCTTTGGGAGGCCAAACAGCTCTTTCACAGGGGTTGCCTAAGACGATAAGAAAACAGATATTTACATTAGGATTCATAACAGTAGCACAATTACAATTATGAAGTACCAACAAAAATAATTTCATGGTTGGGGTCACCACAACATGAGGAACTATATTAAAGGGTTGCAGCACTAGGGAGGCTGAGAACCACTGCCCTAAAGAATTCATGCCAGGTACTTCAAACCTGGTTAAAACCCCATGGCTTGGAAAGTCATCGGCCCTAGGGGGAAAATTATTACTGTAGCTTTGCTATATGGACATGGTGTCTCACTGCCTTCTAAATATTTGTGGCTGTACCCATAGATCAGTGCTTCTCTTTTCCTTTGTTGGAGAAGCTTCTGTTTGCAGTGGTTGACAGTTAATAGCAGAGATTTATAACTCTCGAAGTACTGAAGATAAGTTGCTGCTGAGTTCTCAGTCCTAAATAGGACATCTATATGCCCGGTTGTCAAAGTACTGAAAGCAAGTTTCTATTGAGAGCTCATCCCTAAGTAAGACATCTATGTCACCCTCTCTAAGGCTCAGGGAACATCAAGAAAGAGGGATTAGGAAGAATATAATAGGCAGAAGTTTGGAAAGACTGCTGTGAAAAGCTGTCTGCTGACCATGACATAGCTGTTGTATCTGTGCACTCACAGAAGTGGTGGTTACTTTCAGAAGACCTGCACAAAACTGGATCTGTCAGCATTCTGTCATGGATGGAGCAGTCATAGGCAGTTAATGGTAGACTGTGTGTGTGTGTGTGTGTGTGTGTGTGTGTGTGTGTGTGTGTGTGTTATTCATATGTGGGGTAACCACTAGGAAGTTGCCTTTCTTTGAGAAAATAACCTCCAATCCATGTTCATGCAAGCAACCTCAGTTAAGTGCATTGAGCTGCAAATAAAAGAAATCATGAATGTAGGAGTAGGAGGAGACTTTTGGGGAAAAAGAAAGAATTTGGTGCGATGGGGATGAAGATGGGAGAAAGGATTTGGTATGAGGGAAAGGAGATATAAGAGGATATGTGGCAGGAATATTGATCAAAGAACATTATATGTATGAAATAGTGGAAGAATAAATTGCCTTATGTTTTTGTTAACTTCTATTGAGTTTGTTTTTTTGACAATTTCATGTATGTATAATGTGCATTCTGGTTATTAGCCCCCTCATCTCCCTCTTAGCTCTATTAATCCCCCATCCTTCCTTAAAGTCCATTTCCTACATTCATAACTTTGGTGTTGGTGTTGGTGGATTTTTTTATTTTTATTTCTGAGACCCACTGAGTGTAACCAAGATCATCTGTGTGACCAGAGGATTGAAAGAAGCCTGGTGTGCTCCTCAGTGGATACAATAGCCAATAATTCATAGGGAGTAGTTACCCATTAATCCTCTCCAATCTATGATTAATTGTCTTGTGTAGAACCTTTGCAGGCAGCCATTGAAATTAAACAGGAACTGGGTATGGGGACACACACCTGTAATTCCAATGCTCATGAGACTGAGACAGGAGGAATGCCTGGAGTTTGAAGTCAGCTTGAGCTACATAAGTGAGTTCTGGGCTAGCCTGGGCTACAGTATGAGGCCCTACCTTATGTAAAATACAAGAGGGTTGGGAATATAGCTCAGTGGTAGAGCATTTGCCTAGTATTCATCCAGCCCTAGGTTCTAATTCCAGCAATACACACACACACACACACACACACACACACACACACACACACACACAGAGAGAGGGGGGGGGTTAAACCTGGGACATGTTAACCATCTACAATGATGAAGAAGATAAGATTGATATGATAATCTCATATGAATCAGAACCCACAAAGGCAAACTAGGGGAACAGAGACTCATATGAATAGCACACTAGGTATGACACGGTAGGTAGGATTCATTTCAATATAGAAAAAATGATTTAATTTAATAACAGCACATGAAACTAACACAAAGAATTTAGAGACTTCTACAAGCTTGTATCTTTTAAGAACCAGTAGAACAGAATTTCTTGTGAGTCAGAAGTTTTCCATCTTTACAGGTAAAAGAAAATAGAAATGGGCAAAATTTTAAGTATTTTTACCAAATAGAGTAAAAAGGAAAGAAGTTCATGTGCAAAGCTTTTTCCTCTCTCCTTAGAATAGCATTTAAAACCGTTCACAACAAATACTGTCTACTTTTACAAGTTTATCTTCAGTGACTCTCTTTTCAGCTGATGATATTGCCTTAACCTTATTATACCAGTTAATGATGAGCAAACAGAGTATGAGCTCCTAATTATAAAGATATTTCTAAGACTTTCTTGGAGACAATGCTGTTAATTGTTAAAATAATAACTCCAATAGAGTCTTAGACTTTTCTATGTGTGAGCAAAGAATATTATCAGTAGCCTTTTTTTAATTTGTCAGAACAGTTTTACAAATATTTATACTTCCTGGAAACAAAGATATGAATTAAAACATTATTTCTAAGACAAGACATTATCAAGTTTGAGGACCAATCAGAAACATGAAATTTCCTTGCAAGATAATTTTACAGGACTTGGAAACAATTCCCCAACTGAAGCATTTTTCTGAACAATTCCTTATCCAAATTTACTTTGAAGGACAAATTCTAAGAAATAGAAAATACAATAAACAGAGACAGTTCTGAATATTTCAGTTATATGGGAAAGCAAAATTGTTACTCCTTTAAATGTTAACTTTACATTTTAGCAAGTAATTCTTTCACAACCTAGTTTGCGTTGCAGAATAATAACTCTTCTTGTATGGATTCAAGCAAAAGGCATATCTCCTGTCTCTTTCTCAGACGTGTGTGTGTGTGTGTGTGTGTGTCTGTGTCTGTGTCTGTGTCTGTGTGTGTCTGTGTAAGAGAGAGAGATTTGTGAAGACTTGTGCAAATGTATTCACAAAACCAGGAAAAATGGAATAAAACAAAAGCCAAATATTACCAACAGAAATGGAGTCAAGAAGAATCAGAATTGTACCCACTGCCATTTAAAGCATTTAGTATTAGCGGCCCACTGTGTCCATGCCTGGTGTTCTACCATTCCACACCTGTTTCTGTCTGGCAAAGTTTTACTCCTTCCTAGAGCTGCAGTCATTCCCTCTTTGAAGTTTTAACAAATCCAAAATGAATGTTTGTGCCTTCCGCTAAGAATGTATATGTTTCTTATCTTTTAAATTATTTTTTCTGAAATATTTTATAACTTCCAGGAAATTGAAAACCAAGTCCGGTACATTCTTATAGATTCTCTGTCCATCTTCCTACACTGATAGCAGTTTACATGGTCATAGCATAGTTACAAAAAAAAAAGGAAATGATCCTTTGTGGTAAACAATTGAATCCATTCTTTGTTGGCATTTCATCCACTATTTTTCATTTACATTTTTTATTTGTTCCAGGATCCAACCCAAGATGCATTTAGTTGCCATGTTACCTTAGTGTCTTGAAGTTTCCCAATGCTTTCTTGTATTTCATGACATCGAGCCTTTTGAAGTAAGGTAAGCCTGAATTTGTTTTTATTTTCTGATAGCATACATTAACTATATTAGCAGTTTTGCCATTTGGGCAGTAACAACACTTACAATATGCTATGTACATGTGAGTATATCTTATTGGAGTTACTTAATGTGATTCATTACTAGTTAATCTTGATCACTAGGTTAAAGTTTTCTTACAGTAAATATAATATTCACTTTGTAATTATTAAATACTTCTGAGTAAACACTTCAGATTGTGCAAATTTCTTGTTTCTCCTACAGCTTTATCCACAAATTATTATAGCACATAAAATTGTAGGATTTTTCTAATTATAATTATTATTGTGGTGATTACCTAACAGTGATCTTCCATTTCTCTCAACCCTCATATACATTTACTAATGTACTTGTTACAAGAGAAATATTTATTCATTATGCTCTATTTATCTACTTATTTATTTATTATTTATGGACAAATGGATATTAAGGTTAGCTTATGAATTAAACTTTAATGTTATCAATTATTTTATTACTACAAGTAGAATTGTTTTCCTCCAAATGGTATATTTAAGTCTTAGCTCCCAGCAACTATGAATATGAGTTCTTAAAGTTTTATTTGATTTTTGATTTTTTTTATTGAAAATAGATTTTTTTATACAATATATTTTGATTGTGTTTCCCCTACCCCAATTCCTCCAAGATCCTCCCAACCTCTCCACCCAACAAATCAACCAACCCCTTTCTGACTCTTGTTAGAAAACAAACAGGCAATAAGCAGCACCTGCACCAATTGGAAGAAGAGCAGCCTCCATGTGAACAGCCCTCGCTAGCAACATCAACAGACCTTATAGGAACAAATGTCTCCCCCAACAGCTGGGAAAACAGGCACAGGCAAAACCCACACTAGATGGAAAAACAGACTCCATAGGCACAAGTAAAGCCCACACCAGCCAGAAGATCTGGACGATACCCTGGATCTAGGCATACAAACCCATATAAATCTCAGCTGATCTAACAACTGGACCTGACAACCAGCCAATCAGCAGAACCCTTGGCCATTCAGGCCAAAAGACAATAAAGGAACAAAAGACCCATCCAACAACAACAACAACAAAAGTTACAAGAATCAATACCTGTACCTATAATGATCACAAACCCAGATGGGTAAACAGCAGTGTAAGAATACATTCAACAACATAAAGAACAATATGGCACCACCAGACCCTAGTGATCCTACAACAGCAAGACCTGAACATCCCAACACAGATGAAACAGAAGAAAACAACCTTAAAAAATAACTTTATGAAGATGACAGAGGCTCTTAAAGAGGGAATGAAAAACTACCTTAAAAAGGAAATAAAAACTTTCCTTAAAGAGGAAATAAAAACTTCATTCCCTTAAAGAAATTGAGAAAAAGACAAAAAAATTGTAAGAAATCAATAAATCCCATAAAGAAAACCAAGAAAAAATCAAACAAGTGAAGGAAGCAGTTCAAGACTTAAAAATTGAAATGGAGACAAAAAAGAAAACACAAACCGAGGGAATTCTGGGATTGGAAAACCTGGGTAAATGAACAGAAACTACTGATGCAAGCATAACCAACAGGATACAAAAGATGGAAGAGAGAATCTCAAACATTGAAGATACAATAGAGGAAATAGATTCATTGGTCAAAGAAAATGTTAAATTCAACAAATTCTTAACACAAACATCCAGGAAATCTGGGACACCATGAAAAGACCAAACCTAAGAATAATAGGGATAGAAAAAGGACAATTCTAGCTCAAAGGCACAGAAAATATATTCAACAAAGTTATTGAAGAACACTTTCCAAACCTAAAGAAGGACATTCCTATTAAGGCACAAGAAGCTTACTGAACACCAAATAGACTGGACAAAAAAAGTCCCCTTGACACATAATAATCAAAACACCAAACATACAGAATAAATAAAGAATATTAAGAGCTGCAAAAAAAAAGCCAAGTTACATATAAAGACAGACCTATCAGAATTATACCCGACTTCTCAATGGAGACCCTGAAAGCCAGAAGGTCCTGAACAGACATTCTAGCTTGAGCAATAAGACAACAAATGGAGATCAAGGGGATACAAATTGGAAAGGAAGAAGTCAAACTTTCGCTATTGCAGATGATACGATAGTATACATAAGTGACCCCCAAATACCAAGTACCAGGGAACTCCTACAGCTGATAAACACCTTCAGTAATGTGGCAAGATACAAAATTAACTAAAAAACAATCAGTAGCCCTCCTATGCACAGTTGATAAACGGGCTGAGAAAGAAATCAGAGAAACAATGCCCTTTACAATAGCCACAGATAATATATCTTGGGGTAACTCTAACAACACAAGTGAAAGACTTGTATGACAAGAACTTTAAGTCTTTGAAGAAAGAAATTGAGGAAGTTATCAGAAAATGGAAAGATCTCCCAAGCTCTTAGATAAGTGGGATTAACATAGTAAAAATGGCAATCTTACCAGAAGCAATGTACAGATTCTAAGCAATCACTATCAACATGCCAACACAATTCTTCACAGACCTTGAAAGAACAATACTCAACTTCATATGGAAAAACAAAATATCCAGGATAGCTAAAACAATCCTGTACAATGAAAGAACTTCCAGAGACATCACCAGCCCTGACTTCAGGCTCTACTATAGAGCTATAGTAATAAAAACAGCTTGGTATTGGCATAAAATAGACACATAAATCAATGGAATCGAATTGAAGACTCTGACATAAATCCACACACCCATGAACATCTTGTTTTTGACAAAGAAATCAAAATTGTACAATGGAAAAAAAGAAAGCATCTTCAACGAATGGTGCTGGAATAACTATGTCAACATATAGATGATTGCAAATAGATCCATATCTGTTTCCATGCACAAAACTCAAGTCCAAGTGGATCAAAGCTCTCAACATCAATCCAGTTACACTGAACCTGATAGAAGAGAGAGTGGGAAGCAGCCTTGAATGCACTGGCATAGGAGACCACTTCCTAAATATAACACCAATAGCATAGACACTGAGATTAACAATTAAACATTAACATCCTGAAACTGAGACTCTTCTGTAAGGCAAAGGACACAGTAAATAAGACAAAACGACAGCCTACAGAATGGGAAAAGATCTTCACCAACCCCACATTTCACAGAGGGCTGATCTCCAAAATATATAAAGATTTCAAGAAATTAGACATCAAAATACCAAATAATCCAATTTAAAAATGGGGGACAGATCTAAGCAGAGAATTCTCAACAGAAGAATCTCAAATGTCCGAAAGATATTTAAGGAATTGCTCAACTTTCTTAGTCATTGGTGAAATGCAAATCAAAACGAGTCTGAGATACCATCTTACATCTGTCAGAATGGCTAAGATCAAAAACACTGATAACAGCTTAAGTTGGAGAGGATGTGGAGTGAGGAGAACACTCCTACACTGTTGGTGGGAATGCAAACTTGTACAGTCACTTTGGAAATCAGTATGGCGGTTTCTCAAAAAAATGGAAATCAATCTACCTCAAGACACAACAATACCACTCTTGGGGGCATATACCCAAAGGATGCTCAAACATACCACAAGGACACTTGCTCAACTATGTTCATAGCAGCATTTTTCAAATAGCGAGAACCTGGAAGCAACCTAGATGTCCCTCAACTGAAGAATGGATAAAGAAAATGTGGACACAATGGAATATTACTGGGTAGTTAAAAAAAACAATGATGTCATGAAATTTGCAGGCAAATGGTTGGAACTAGAAAAAAAATCATCCTGAGTGAGGTAACCCAGACTCAGAAAGACAAACATGGTATGTAATCACTCGTTAGTGGAGATTAGATGTAAAGCAAAGGATTGCCACAGCCCTAGAGAAACTAGGTAACTAGGAGTACTCTGAGAGGGATGCATGGATCACCCTGGAGAGATGAGATCTCCTGGGTAAACCAGGGCGAGGGGGATAGAGGGGCAGGGATAGGGGACAGGAACTTGAGGGATCCAGATGTTTGAGTTGGGGGAAGAACAGAAAGGGAGAGAAATGAAAGAGATATCTTGATAGAGTGGGCCATTATGGGGTTAGGGAGAAACCTGGTGCCAGGGAAACTCCCAGGAATCCACAAGGATGACCTTAAATTAGACTACTAGCAATAGTAGAGGGGGTACCTGAACTGGTCTTCTCAGGTAATCAGATTGGTGAATACACTGATTGTCATCATAGTACCTTCATCCAGTAACTGATGGAAGAAGATGCAGAGATACAAAGCTAAGCACTGGGCAGAGCTCTGGGAGTCCAGTTGAAAAGAGGAAGAGGGGAATATATAGCAAGGTGATGGGGGGGTCAAGATCATGACAGGGAAACCCACAGAGACAGCTGACCCAGGTTCCTGGGAGCTCATGTGTCAGACTCCAGACTGACAGCTAGGGATCCTGCATGGGATCAACCTAGGCCCTCTGCATGTGGGTGACAGTTGTGTAGCTTGTTTGTGGGGCCCCTAGCAGTGGGGCCAGGATGTGTCCCTGGCTCATGAGCTGGTTTTTTGGAACTTACTCCCTATGGTGGGATGCCTTGCTCAGCCTTGATGCAGGGGGGAGGAGTTTGGTCCTGCCTCAATTTGATATGCCACACTTTATATGCCATGGGAGGTTTTACCCTTTCTGAGGAGTGGGTGGAGGTGGTAGAAAGGAGGTGGGAGGAGGGAATGGGAGGAGAGAAGGGAGGGGAAATTGTGGTTGGTATGTAAAATAAATTGAAAATTTTAATAAAAAAGAAAATAAACAGGAATCTAAAGAATAATAATAAAATAAATAAAAATAAGATAAAACAAAAAGGATGCCATTGAGTTCTTTTTGTGTTTTCCTTTTACTGCTGGGAATGGGGCCACTCCTTAAGAGTTGTTTGTATCTCCAGTGAGACTCCATTGGAGAAAACGTCTTTTTCACTTATGAGTGACTATCAATAGCTTCTGGCTTAGGGATAGGGGCTGGTGCGCACTTCTCTCAGTGACGGGACCCCATCTGGTGCATACCCATGCAGACCCTGTGCATGCTGCATCTGATTCTGTGAGTTTACTTGTGCATCAACTCAGTTGATTTAGAGAGCCTTGTTCTCCTGGTGTCCTCCATCCCCTCTGGCTCTTACATTCTTTCTGCCTCCTCTTCCACAGGTTTCCCTGAGCTCTGAGGGGAGGGATTTGATGGAGACATCCCAGTAAGAGCTGAATGTTTCAAGGTCTCCCACTCTCTGCACATTGTCTAGCTGTGGGTCTCTGTATTTGTTCCCAACTACTGCAGGAGGATGCTTCTCTGATGATGGCTGAATAAGGCACTGATCTGATTCTCTAGCCATCATAGCCAGCAGGTTTCCAGCAGGGAGTGCCTGTGGGAGTCGGTGGTGGAGACCATGAGTTCATTTTTAAATGATGTCTTTTCACATGCAATTCAGTTCAAATACGAGTATGCTAAATTGAAGCGGTAACGCCCGCGCTACCACCACCCATTCACCATATCCGAGTGAGGGGCTGTGGATCAAAAAACATAAACAAGAGACAGAGGGTCATTTGTCTCAGCAGTTTGTTGAAGGAGGGAGGAAACCTTAAATACAGGCTTACAGCACAATGGGAGAACCCAGGAAGGCAGAAGTTTGCTACCAATGTTCTACATTCTTGCATCTAAGCTGTTATCGCCCAATATGCAGGATACACAAACAAGGAACCTCCGGTGAGCCTACAGGAGGAAGGAAACCGGCAGGGAATCAGCATAGGGAGGACATCTGGTCAAGGTCAGCAAGCAAGGCAACAGCTACCCAACTGAATTTGTGCAGTGTTATTATACAATAGGTGGAAATTTGGAATATGACACACAGAAGACAGAGAGAAGTATACTATGTGAAAATGATGGCAAAGATTGGGATTAAGCTTCTCCCACTCAGAATCACCAGTGCTTTCTTGTAATTACTAGAATCTAAGGTGGATTTATAAAATAGATCGTCCCTAAGAGCCTGCAGAAGAAAGTAACTGTGCTGACATCCTGCTTTTGGACCCCTGTCTTGTAGAGCTGTGAGCTACCAAATCACCAGGATTTTTTTTTTTTTTAGTGGAGACAGGATTTAATTATTATTATTATTTTTTTAATGGGGAAAATACATTTTATTTATTTATTTATTTATTTATTTATTTATTTTTTATTTTACAATACCATTCAGTTCTACATATCAGCCACGGATTCCCTTGTTCTCCCCCCTCCTGCTCCCTCCCCTCCCC